CAAGAGACCTCCAATAAAAACCAAACGGTTCTAGGTAAAAATTCTTCAATTGATAAGCTTTCAAAGAGCAAAGGAAGTATTAATACAGACTCCTCTAACAGACTCATACAACTACCCATAACCCATTACCTTACATGACTAACCATGACACTCTCCCACTACTTACTGACCCCAAAAATAAGGAACAAGTTACTAACAAATTTCACAGCTGGGCCACATGGCTCTCCACTACTTGCATAGCCCAACAACTAACAGAAAAAACGCCCACTACTTAAATTCTTCTAATTTAAACCACATTCAATAAGTGGGCCCACTAATGGCCCATTAGTGGGTATGTGACACGGACCTAACATTCCCTCCCCTATCAAGAATGACCTTGTCCTCAAGATCAATGGTGGGAAACTGCCTTTGGAGTCGGTCATAGTCTTCCCAAGTGGCATCCTCTTGAGGCAAGCCATGCCATATTACTAGAGCTTCTTTATGGGACTTACCGCCACTTGTTATCCCCTGGAGATCCTTAATCCACTGAGGTTCAAACACCACCTCTCATGCCTCGATGAACTGAGGGAGAATAGGGCTGGCAACATCAATGGAAGGCAGACAGGGCTTCAAAAGGCTAACATGGAAGATGGGATGCAACTTGCATTCTGTAGGAAGGTTTAAATGGTAGGCGACAGCCCCAATTTGTTCAACCATCTGAAATGGGCCGAAGTAATGTGGAGATAACTTCTGGGACGTCCTTCGAGCCAAATATGCCTGTTTGAATGGTTGGATCCTCAAATAAACCCAATCCCCAATAGATAATTCCAACTCCTGATGCTTCTTATCATAAGCTAGCTTCATGCGTTGTTGAGCCTGTTGTAGATGGAACTTGAGGGTTTTGAGTATGCTATCCCTTGTCGTCAAGTGAACTACAACTTCTGCTACTGGAAACGCATCTAGTTTGTAAGGTAAGATGGATGGGGGGTCACACCTGTAGAGCACCTTAAAAGGGGCAGTTCTAGCTGCGATTTGGAACGTGGTATTATACCAATACTCGGCCCATGGTAACCATTGGGCCCACTTATTGGGTTTATCTCCCACAAAACACCTTAGATATGTTTCCAAGCAATAGTTGACCACTTTTGACTGACCATCCGTCTGGGGGTGATAACTGGTTGAGTGTAACAATTGAACCCCTTGAGCTGTGAAGTAGGCCTGCCAAAAGGTACTCATGAAGAGTGGGTCTCAATCGGTCAAAATGGAGTGGGGGGTTCCGTGGAGTTTCGCCACTTCCTGTATGTAGGCACGGGCCACTATGGCTGTCGAGTAGGGTCAGGAGAGTACAATAAATGCATACTTAACCAGTCTACCACCACCAACACTACCAACTTCCCTTGAGACGTGGGAAGCCTGGTTATGAAACCCATGGTAACTTCTTCCCAAACTTTCTTCAATATGGGCAGAGGCTACAACAACCCGACTAGTGTCTGCATGCTATATTCTTGTTGTTGGCAAGTCGCACATCTTGCGACATACTCCTGTACCAGCGTTTCATGCCCTTCCAATGATAATGGGCTGCCAAACGCTTATAGGTGCGAAGAGCCCCTAAATGGCCCCCTTGGGTCGAGTCATGAAATATCCGTAGCAATTCTTGATGATGTTTGGACCTATCAGATGCTACCATTTGGCCTTTGTAGAAGAGAATACCATTTTTCATAGCATACCCTAAAGTAAGTGTGGAACTGTCGAGGGTTAGGGCCTATATCTATGCCAGGTGAGGGTCGGCATGGGCCTCTTGTCTTAACTGGTCTAGTAGGGGGTAAGTGGGTCGCAACACGCCTATCACGTTAAAGTCATCTGCCCAGGAGAGGGCATCAGCCACAGCATTTGAAGGCCCAAATTTATATTCAATGATGAAATCGAACCCCAACAACTTATAGGCCCACTTTTGTTGGTCAGGGCCCAAGACTCGCTGCTCCAACAGATGTTTGATGTTGTGGTGGTCCCTCCTAACAATGAACCTTCGGCCCAAGAGATATGCTCTCCATTTCTGAACAGCTAGAGTGATCACCATGAGCTCCTTCTCGTAAGTTGATTTGGTTTGAGCTTGAGGAGAAAGGGCCTTACTGAAGAAGGCTAGGGGCCGACCTTGTTGCATTAGGAGTGTGCCTATTCCCTTACCCAATGCATCAGCCTCCACCACGAATTCTAGGTTGAAATCTAGAAGTGCCAATGTGGGTGGTGTCATCACCGCTTTCTTGAGTAACTGAAAAACCTCTTCAGCCTTATGATCCCACTCGAAGGAGTGCTTCTTCAACAATCGAGTGAGGGGTGCTGCAAGGATCCCATACCCTTAGATGAACCGGCAATAATAGTCGGTGAGACCTAGGAACCCTATGAGGGCCCATGGGGAGGTGGGCCTAGCCCACGTAAGAATGCAAGCTATCTTTTCTGGACCAGTGTGCACCTACCCATCGGAGATTATGTGCCCCAGGTAGCTAATTTGGGTTTGTCCAAAGGAACATCTTAATGGTTTAGCAAACAGTTGATGGAAGCGTAGTAAGCCCAATGTACACTGCAAGTGTTCCAGGTGAGTGGCCCAGCTCGGGCTATAAACAAGTATATCATCAAAGAAAACAAGCACAAATTGGCACAGGTAGGGCTTAAAGATCTCATTCATGAGCCTTTGGAATGTGGAAGGTGCATTAGTCAAACCAAAAGGCATTACTAGGAACTCAAAATGCCCATCTGAGGTTTGGAATGCAGTTTTGTGTATGTCCTCTAGATGGACTCGAAAGTTGAATCTGATGGTAGCCTGACCGCAAATCCAACTTCGAAAAAATACTTAGCTTTACCCAACTCATCAAATAGTTCTTCAATCAAGGGTATTGGATACCAGTCTTTCATCGTGATGTTGTTTAATGCTCTATAATCTACACGGAATCTACAATTACCGTCTTTCTTCTTCACCAAAATAATGGGTGACGAAAATGGGCTACTACTGGGCTGGATAAATCCTTTGTCTGGCAATTCATTCACCATTTGTTCCACTTCTACCCTCTAGAATGGTGATACCGGTAGGGTCTGACATTGGTGAGCGGGGCTCTGGGTTGTATTGGTATCTTGTGAACATGGGCTTAAGGGGCGGGTAGGGTAGTGGGCTCTTGAAAGATGTCAAAGTAAGCTTGGAGTAACAACTGGAGTTGTTGAGCTTGATCTGGAAAAAGGCCTATATCTTCAGGGGAAGGGGCAACGGTGGGCCCAATAGGCATCGAGCCCATGCTAAGTAAAGGGGTAGAATTGTGTCACCAGTTTTTGAGGATAACTTCTAGGTTATCTGCGGTTATGGGTTGATTTTTAGCTCCCTTTGGGACAGGGACTGCCTTCATGTGTGAATTGCATCATCAATTCGGCCCAATTACATACCACAGGGCCCAATAGTTGTAACCACTGTATCCCCAAAACCACATTTACTCTCGTGAACTCTAATGGATGTAAGTCCACCCTGAAGGTATACCCCTGAATCTTGAGCTCAACTGACTTACACCTCCTTTCGCATGTGCTATGGTGGTCGTTGGCTACATTGACTGCAAATGGTGCAACGGTCTCAATCATTAGCCCAAGTTGTCGAGCTAGTCCCATAGTTATGAAGTTCAAAGAACTCCCACTATCCATCAAAACAGCCACTCTCCTCCCCAAGATCTGCCCATGGACCCGCATGGTTCTTGGGGTTTGGTATCCCGCTAGAGCCTGAAGGGAAATAACATAGTATTCAACTTTCGATACAACTTCCATTTATTGGACCCTGGGGTCTTCTGTAGGAGACTCAGGTTCCTCCTCCTCTTCTACTTGCAGGAGGTACACATGTCGGGCCATGCTTGAAACAAATTTCTCGTCACAATTATAGCAAAGGCCCTTCTCCCTTCTGGCCTACTTCTTTGTCCATGACAATTTTCAGTGAGGAAGGGTCGATGCCAGTGTTTTAAAAGCGCAAGGCGCAAAAAAAAAGCGCAAGGTCCAATTTGTGCCTGAGGCGCAAGGCAAGGCATGCGCCTTTCTAGGCAAGGCGTAAAATTACAATAAAAAAAAGCTAAAAAATCAAATAAAAAGTCAGAAAATTCAAAAAAAAGGCCACAAATTTTTAAAAATGCAAAAAAAAAACTCAAAAAGTATTAAACATAATGTTAATAAAAAATATAAACTTAAATTTTAAAATAAATGTTTTAAAAAACCTATTATCTAAAATTAAAATACCTAAATATAACATGTAAAGCGTATTCAAGTGAAAATTTAAAAATAAAAGTAAACATATAAAGCATTTTCAAGCAAGTAAAACCCACAATCTCTTTTTTTCCTTAATTGCATTGCTTCAAATAGCTAATGTGATGTAAAACATATTGCATTCTTGATTCTATGAGTCGCCTTTGTACCACACCCCTCGAGGCAATACCGAACATTCTTGATTCTATGCTGCCCGAACAAGTCTATTGATTTTCTTCTCCTCTTTTATTTTTTTATTTTAATTCTTGAGCTAATTCTCATTGACCGGGGAGTTATCTTCCCCAAACCCGATTTTGTTAGATAACAAATCAAAATATCTATCCCTGACCCGAGAGTTTGAATCAAACAAACTTTTACTAAAACAAAACACTAAACCAATCACCCATAAACAGAGCATGGCGGACTTCACCTTTAGATCGATCTCAAATCACAGCAATAGCAATAATCAACATGAAAATAGCAAAAATAAAAAGATAGAATCATTATCAGCAACACAACAAAATTAAAAAAGTAATAACTAAATTAAATCCATTGGAAACCCTTAGGCAGTAATCACGTTACCATCCCTAAAACCAGGTTACAGAGGTTGCATTGTCCACTATGGCACCGGCTAAAACTCACAGAGAAGGGCTCAGTGGAACTTCACCGCCATCCCCAATAACCGGCAGTCAGATAAAAAAGAAAAGAAAGAGACCCGAAAATTAACAGGGGGAAGTACTGATGAGAAGAAACCTTACCAGAGCCGTATGTTGGCCTGAAATTGAACGGTTGCTGATCGAGAGATTAATGGAGCAGAAAGGTAGGTTAAGCTCAAATGAAGGCTGTTATGTTGGGTTTCACTTCATGAACGATGAACACAGAGGAGATCACAGTATGTTTCAGTCTCAGATCATTCACTTCATTTGGACTCTAACCAGGGGATTGGGGAAAATGGCGATGCCTCGGAGGTATGCTGCTTGAAATACAAGAGGTGGTACGGTTGAGCTGCTGCTGCTAGTGAAGGTTTTGCGCTATTGAGTCTCTGTCGCTGGTTCTCTAGATCAAGGGCGATGACCAGTAGAAATGGCAATTCGAAAGGTTCGACGGAAGAAGAAGAAGAGAATGAGGAAGGGAGAAGAGAGGGAAAAGTGGAGAGAATGGAAGAACAGAGAGGAACCAGAGGGAAAATGGTTCTGGTCGCTGCCGCTCCGCCTCTCTTCGAACGAAAGAGGAGATCCACCGTGTTCCCCCATTCGAATGAAAAATAAGCCTATACTTTTAGAAAGGGAAAATTCCCGACGGATACCTGATGTTTAGGCAGAATGCCAATCTAGGGCATGTTTGTTTTCTCTTACTTGAGGAAATTGGTGTTTAGTTCCTCTTATCGATCTTTTTATATTATCTATAAATCCTTTCTATTTACAATTTTCATTGGACATTTTCTACCCATTATCTAAGCATAATACAACAGGCATAAAAAGAGTATATATGTCCTTTACTCTCATTCTAAAAATTATCCACTTATAGCCAAGGTTTTTAAAATTGACTCAAAGAATGAACTGGTCAGGGGTTTGATTCCTGGGTCAAACGGTTCGAATGATCATCCCGTTTTGACAAAAAAATAAAAAATAATAAAAAATGGTCAAAACTTTTGAACGGTTCGAATGGTTCAACCACCCGGGTCAGCGGTTTGTTGACCAAATCAACGTTTTTTTGCAAATATCCGATTTTGGAGAAAAACGGAACCAGTCACCTAACCGGTTCCCGAATTTTCCGATCAAACAGTCTAGTCCGGTCTGGTTTTGAAAACCATGCTTGTAACAGTTCAGAAACCACCCACTTATAATTGTTCAAAAACTGCCCATGAATTATAAATAGTTTTGTCTTAGAGATACTGTCATGTGCAAAAGCACGCACATGTTTACTAGTATTTCTTAAAGTGCAATTATACAACTTTGTTTTCCAATAACACCCACAAAAAGACAAATAAAACCCTCATATATGGAGTCAAAATGTATATTTGATAATTCTTATTTAGAATTCAAAATTAATAACAACATTCTCTACATTCAGAGTTCAAAGGAAAAAAAAGTTCACTAATACCAATATACCTCTTGATGTAATTATTGCACTTTCAAATGTCAGACTTCAGAGCAATCGAACAGGCCCTTACTACCCGACTTTAAAATGTGATAATCTAGTACCCGAACTTTCAATGTGCGACAATCCAGTATCCAACGTTAACTCATCGTCAATCAAAACCATTACGTGATATCAGGTGTGGTTAAAACATTTTTGTAATACCAAAACTAACCTTTATGAAAAGATTTGGACTGTTTTACCCTTTTTCCTTCCTATTTCCCTAATCCCCTTTCTCTTCAATTTGGGTTAAAGGAACGAGAGAGGATAAGATACTTCACTCAACTCTGACCATTTTACTCAGTGTTAACTCCCGCTTTTAATTTCGAGCATGCTTCACTCAACTCTGATCGTTTATTGACGAAATGAAGGTAGTAAGCATAGCCTATTCCATCCCTTTCTCTTCAAACTCGATTGAAGAAACAACGGAAGAGAGGAGACTCGATTGTTCACGTGCAGGTTGAAAAAACAACAAAAAAAGGTGGTAAACTTTACCCCTAGCATCTATCTCCCCCAACATTTGTTCATCTATAACCGTGCACAGTTCTGATGGAATTTTCATACGGACTCCACTCTAGAACCGCGCACAAACTTGTTCTTGTTCTAACTCTAATTGGACCCATGATCATGATAGATAGGATGGACTTGTTAATCTTAAGTTGAGACTTGAGAAATGGATGGGATTGCACGACCAACAAATCTACATAAGCTATAGCCATCTTGCCAACGGCATCGAAGATGGTGGGACAAAAGTTTAGCTTCATATAGGCTAATCTGAAAAATGTTCCTCCTTTACTATTTATTTGTTGCAAAATATGCCAGAAGCATGTTGTGAGCATCAGAAGGGAATTTGGGACAAATTAGGGTTCAGGCAGCAAACCAAGCAAAAACTGGGTGCTAACAGCTACCCCTCTTTGTTGTGAGATAGGAAACAACGAAACAACAAAAATCAAAAAGAGCACAGAGATTTTTATGAACGGTAGGTTTGGAAGATGGCCAAGAGATGGAGAGAGAATTATGATGAAAAAAGGCAAAGAAGAAGAGGAGTTTCCATGCAGCATCGGTTCATTATGTTCAGGCCATTTTATTCTTGGTGAAATGACCTCTCATAAGTATCAAGAACCTTCGGAATCAGGGTACATAAGCCGTAAAAGAAAACAATAAAAACAAATGATGATATGAAAACTACACATTTTGGGGAAAAAAACCCTCCTACGTATCAGAAACCTAGTGGAATCAAGGTACATTTGTTATAGAAGAAGGCACCAAAAGGCAATCACAACACAACATCAAAAGTAATTCAAGAGAATAATACTTAAGCTTATTGCAAAGCGCAATCACAACACAAACACATATATTCTTTAGATAGCATTTTAAAAATCCTTGATAAAGCAATTTAGAAACTTGATAGAGGTTTTGTAGTTGATATAGTGTAACTGCTCTTTGGTTGGGCGAAAGACACCCTTCCATGTAACAGCATTTTACGCTTGAAGATTCGACAAAACACTCAAAAAATCTAGTAAAAGTGCAAAGTGTTATGCTTTCAAGTGTGTGGCGGTGTCCTATATGATTAATGCACGATTAATATGATATCCCGAACTATTATTTTCTTTTGTGCTCTTTGGCGGATGATAGGGAATTTCAACACAATAACGAAGTCATCAAAGGTTATAAGATTGAAGGGCATGCTGCCATACGCATGGAAATGAAGGTGGACCTGTCATCAAGATTCTCGTGGCCAAAGTTTTTCTTTCTTCTCTCTTTTTTTTTGATTTTTTGATATGTAGTTTTATTTTTTGAAATGCAGTGATGCATTTTGATTGACAAAAATGTGTATTATTCCATGACTCAAATAGAAAATTGCTAAAAATCGAGAAAACAACAAGATTTATTCTATGCGATGACGTGAGACAATGTTAATTTCTTCACCACAATGGACTTTCTTGCTGCTAGGAACTTTAGTGCCACGAAAGATTTTAATGCCGCGAGGGACTTTAGTGCCACGAGGGGCTTTAGTGCCGGAACGGAATTTGAAGCAAATATGATGACAATTGAAGCAGACGGTTTCTATGCTGAAAGGCGAAGAACTGATGTTGATTCTTTTTTATCCATGAGGGGCTTTAATTCCTTAAATGTCTTTGATGCCTCAAGGGACTTTAATGCCGCGAGGGACTTTGATTCTGTGAAGGGCTTTAATGCCATGAAGGGCTTTGACACTGTAACAGACTTTAATGCCACTGTGAACTTTGATACTAATATAATTCAGATGAACTGTTCATAATTTAAATATATGATTTCTATGTCAAATGTGCGTTAAGCCGCGAAACATTGATACTTTGATGCGAGGGATGTTAGTGCCATGAAGGGCTTTGATGTTGTAATAGACGTTAATGCCACAAGGGACTTTGATACTAATATAATTCAAATGACATTTTCATGATTTAAACAAATAACTTCTATGTGTGTTAAGTCGCGAAACATTAATACTTTGCCGCAAGGGACTTTAATGCCAAGAAGGGCTTTTGATGCCGTAACGGACTTTAATGCCACAAGAGACTTTGAGGCTGCAAGAGGCTTTGAAATAAATTTGGCATAGATTATTGCTTTTTTATTGAAACTTGACGAGATAATGATCTTTAAATAAAACAATGATGAATTTCAGGATACATTATGACACGATGCAAATCAACAAAACATTGATATTTTGCCATTGGGGACTTTAGTGTCGTGAAGAGTTTTACTGTCACAAAGGACTTTGATGCCGCAAGAGACTTTGAAACAAATTTGACTCAGATGAATGATTCTTTACTCAAATATGATAAGGTAATGATCTTTAATTGAAACAGTGATGATTTCTATATCTATGATGCGTTATGACATGATGCAAATCAACAAAACATTGATATTCTGCCACGAGGGACTTTAGTGTCATAAAGGGCTTTATTGTCACAAGGGACTTTGAAGCGAATATGAGTCATGATCAAACATTGATTTCAATGCCATAGGGCAGAAAATGATATGATGATCTAGAAGCTAGATGATTAATTGAGAACAAGATTCCTCGCATAATGAATGCTTTCAATTGAAAATTTAACTGGTCGACCAGTCAAGAAAAACAATGCATTATTTTTCTTGTAAGCAACATGAGGTGTGATTAAAAAACCAAATATAGTATAAATGATATGCAAAATGCCATATTTAGATGATTCAAAGCAATGGATACTCAAAGATAGCTGAAATGGGGGATTTTCTAACCTTGGATAAGAGACAAAAGTAGTCACTTCCACCTTGTAATGGAATGATCATCATATTTCAAATCTTAAAAACATAAACATCGGATACGCAATGATTGTTGATCAAAGATTCGCATCGAGAAACACCCATCAGAAGGGGGTTGCCCCAGTTTGGATCAGTTGAGAAGGATAACTCATGAAAAAAATAACAACTCAATTTTGCACAAAGTGGATTGTGACTCTTTAGAATAGGTGTTGATCGCAAGTTTTAAAAGATGGATGAATCTAAATTTGCTCAACTGGGTTGATTGGTACTCTTGCTGCACTTCAAATCATTGATCACTAAACCTTCTTTGGTATTCAACTTTCAATGAAGAGATTTTCTTTGGACCATTTTGCCCCTAGTTTTTAGAGAATCACCAGCCTCGACTCTTTCTCTTCTTTTTTCTCTCTCTCTCTCTCTCTCTCTCTCTCTCTCTTTCTCTTTGTGCCAGCCCACTTAGGTCTGTCCAGTGTTAGTTACCAATTTCTCAAAGATCGAGGAGAACTTCCGACTAGGACAAAACGTTGCCTAGGACAAGGATTCTGAAACAAGTGATAAAAGGCTCAAGAAACTTTAACTATGATGGGTATCGGATGCTTGAATCAACTTATAGGATTTTATTCAAAATTGTGCCCTTGTACTCTTATTTTTCTCTAATAAAACACTCTTATAATCATAAATGAAACAAAGTGCTCTTCAGGTTTTTAAATACTATTGGGCATGCACCCGGGTGATCAAAGATGACTTTATTACAACACTTCTCTTCACTTTTTTTAAAACACTCTTGCACTTCTCTTCACTCTTTGTAGCAATTGGTTGCCCTAGTTTTTTTTTATGCTTCACTTTTTTTTCCTCTTTTTTTCTATTATGCACACTTACCCTAAATTTTCTATGCATTCCTTCTTCTCTTTGTCATTCCCAAGAAACTTA